CGACAATAGATTTCATTAGGCTTGTGCTAAGGCTCACTGGTTGGGGATTCATTACATACGTAATTAGGGTTTCATCGCTAATTTCTTCCGTTTTTTTCTGGATTTCTGACGTCCTGCAGGTTAACACTGACATAAGATTACATTCGGATTTTGCTGGCGCTTCCCGAGTGCAGACTTGTTGCGTGCGTAACTACTAGGTAGGGTTCTGCCATTGCTTTTCCCCGACTTGTTTGGGTTTTGGGACATCCTCGTGTGCTTTGTCAGTCTGCACGACCTAGGGTTGGGCTTGTCTGGACTGCCTTGCCCAGCCCAGTCGATCGTCTATTTTTTTTATGAGGGACGCCGGGCGATTCCCGGTCTGTATAATTCAGCCGTGGGCAATGTATCGGCTCATCCCCATGAAAAAAGAAAGAAAAAAAGAAGTACGTTGCATTCGGCCATGGACTTGGCCCTTTTCTGTTTTTTTTTTTAATGTTTTGTTTTCTGGGGTCGTTTCTACCACCCAGCCCACATAGCAACCTACCCCACACTGTAGAACTGGCCCACATACTGCTACCCAACCAACATCCCACTACCCACATCGTGCAACTTAGTCCACATAGTACAACTGCCCCACATACTCCTGCCCAACCAACATCCCACATAGCACCGTCCACTTCACATGATGTGACGCGCCCCACGTGGTGTGACCCAAACCGCATAGTATCCCCACGCCACATAATACTGCTCCGCCAACATGGTACCGCCTATAACTGTGGCAAGGGCGGAATTGTGCCTGATGTTGGCAATGTGTTTTTTTCTTTTTTTCCGGTGGCCATGTCCATTTTTGTTCTTTTTTTTCTGGGGTAGGAGTGTGTGTTAGTAGTACTTAGTACCATCTGGTCGATGCAATGTGGCTCACCCCACACTGTCAGCATTTTTTTTCTGTTGTTTTTCGGTGGGAGTGTGTGTTAGTACCATCTGGTCGATGTAGTGTGACTCGTCCCACATGGTGCTGCCTACTCCAATTGTACCGTCCAACCGCCCGGCCCACATAAGTACCACAGTCGTGCGAAGGACAGATTTGTGCCTTTTGTTTTTCTCTTTTTTCAAGTTTTTTCGGCTGTGAGTGTGTGGGTGTAGTATGACACCCCCATGGCACCACCCAGGTCACATGATCGCATGGCACCCCATCCAGTCCACATGATGCTGCCCACCCCACCACACCCTATCACCCGATCCTGCCCAGCCCGATGGTGCTGCCTGCCCGTGCCTAGGGCCAAGTTGTGCCTGGCGTCGATCGCGAGCCAGTCCACATACATATGTTTTCTTTTCTTGTGGTGGGGGGCAGTAGGACCACGTGTGGCTATGGCGCCCCACCTTCACCGCCAACTAGTACGTTCAGGCACTTACATGAAGTTATATCAGCCACGGAGGTGGAGAAGTGTGAACACCACAAGTTGTCTTCTCGGAAAGGCAAACAGCTCCAACAGGGGTGGAACCGGGAACCAATTCAGAGCAACATTCATCAACCAACCAACAACTACCGTCTTCCCCCGGACACAGCGCACCGTTAGCTCGACTGTGTCGGGCTGAAAAAGTAGCTTGTATACATTCATAATGAGGGCACATTGCGCTCGGGTACTTACGCAAACATCAGTGGAGCAGTCCCTTGCTATCGATAAAGCATGAATACAAGCAAACGAGGATCTGACGCGCTGAAACAGAGAATGAAACAACGATCACGGACAGACGTCTCCAGGTGAGTTCTCTCTACGAGTCTCGTGCATAGCTCAGAACTCTCCAGCCCCTTAACTCCAGGTTTGAACACACTGGTCCTCAACTGGACACAGAGTAGTGGTTAAGAGATTAACGCTTCGGGGGTTTTGGTATATGCCTGAGGTCATACTCGTTAGAGAATTGGGTGGGGTTTCGGTGGGAAGGAAGGGAGAGAGAAGTGTAACTGACAGTGTTTCTTGGCGAATGCGCCAATGCACAATTTATTGTCTTCTCTGCAACAAGAATCAGACAGCTGCCATGCAAATACGAGAAATGGAAACGCAACAGAGAGCCTTTCGTTTGTCTGCAACCACAGACTTTCTTTTCGACCTTGTTCAGCGCAGTTAACAAATTACTCTCCGGCAGTTAGTCCATCGATTGAGACCTGAATTTTCCCCTCTGCGTATCTGATCACAACCGGGAACATGAAAAAGGTCAGAAGAGTCCTACCGAGAGTAGGCTGTCAGCTACTTCATTTCTTGATGGACTTCTTGATAATTATGATAGCCTTGGGCTCATTTCCAGGGGGTGTAAGCACTGAAACGGTGAAACCTGCATACGTTTAAAAAGAAAAAATTCACTATGGCAACCAGCTGTTAAAACTTATACATGTCCAACCGGCATCGATGGCAATCAACGACACTCTTTTTCTCCTACGGCCTACCTGAACGCATGCCTTCTCCACTGCCATAGGAGTCTGATAGGACTAAATTTCAATAAAACTTTTAGAAGACGACAAAACAAATCCCAGCATCAAGCATCTTTTCATCCACCCAGAAAGCAAATTGCTGCGTCCTTCAGGACATCCGTTAAAACTGGAATGATATAGAGCTGCGGACGGATGACAAGCATTAATCAAGAAAAGGTCCAAAGGACCAAAAGTAAAGAGGGGGGTGGGTGGGTGGGGTGGGGGGGGGGGGGGGGGACCAAATTGCTGTACTCCAGAGCTGGGAAACCAAAAATTTGTCTACCTTGCCGTCTTCGGCTGTGGTCCAAAGCCGAGATCCACGAGGATGGAACTTATCATCCTCCCATGCAAAACATGATTACTTTCCTGCAAAACATAATTACTTTTCTCCACACCACTGTAGCACAAGAAAAAGCAGAGGGCTGAGCTGCACAAAAATCAATGAGCCTTCTATCTACCAAGATATTTTGTTCATCGGAATGCATCGACTTCGATAAGGGTGGATGCATTGACACCATCTCCATGATTACTGGCCTTGCTAAGGCCGGAGATATGGCATATAAGTGGACAAATGGATGTACATGTATGCGGACAGATAAAGAGAGCATGAAGCAGGGAGGTGAGGACCACCAGAAATATACAAATTTCCTACATGAAGACCACATACTGCCCATCTCATAACTAACAATTAAGCGACATCATCCAGCAGGGACGATATGTCTCACGTCTCAGAAGGAACAGGACATACATAACCATGCTACTGTGCAACGCCATGCAGCGATCCTACAACACCATATCAGATCAAGCATGGACAAAGCATCAAGTGCCCAATTGGCTTCCACTCTGTGGCCACATTCACACATTTTCCTCACACCTTCAAGTAAATAGTTCCACATAAATTCAAAAGTCAACATAAAAGCAAACGTCAACATAAAAGCAAACGTCAACATGAAAGCAAACGTCAACATAAAAGCAAAAATCAACATAAAAGCAAAAGTCAACATAAGAGCAAACGTCAACATGCAAAAGTCAACATAAAAGCAAACGTCAACATAAAAGCAAACGTCAACATAAATTCAAACGTCGACATAAATTTAAAAGTCAACATAAAAGCAAAAGTCAACATAAAAGCAAAAGTCAACATAAAAGTGAAAGTACTCTTACTACGTCGAGGCAAACGAGAACACGCAAGCGATGTGCATGTTTGAGCACAGCTGCAAAGAACCCCACCACAAGAGAGCAAGAACCCAAGTCCTCTACAAAACCAAGTAGGTTGTTAACCGACATCGTGTTCGGACGCCATGGACTAAACAAGGAATTGAGCATCCTCGAGTCAGATTGCGACTCCTCGACAACGTTCCACCCATTGAAGGTGAGCAAAGGAAAGGTGTTTAACTTTACTTGGAAAAAAAAGTTTAAAACACTCATTCCATGAAACACATGTATTGATTCTATTCATTTCTCCATGAACGATTGCCCTCATAAGAATCGCTACCTTCACCCAACTGCCGTTCTCCGTTCTATGCTCCTCAGCAGAGACCAGAGTCCCATTCCTGGCTGCTCTTAGAGCCCCAGCCCCAGTCCCAGCCCCTACCACCCCACCCAGCCCAGCCACACCTCACAATCTCTGACCTTGTGACTCAGTTGGAGGCTCCCCCTCCCTCCAGCCCAAGTTACATGTACTCGACATAACAAGCAAGTATGAATGAGGATATAAAAATTTTAAAAACCTGTTTACCACCGATGATGCAGCGATGACGGTCATGCCTACCTTTGCCCGTCGCCTTTTCGACCTTGATGCCACCACTGGTGAGCAAATCCTCACTAAACTCATCCAATGGCCATGAAACAGTCATGTACAGTTTCTCCTTATTTACTGGGCGTTACACATACGCCGCACACCAAAAAATCAAGGTAATGTGCACAGCAGCAAGCAAGAGCAACAGGCACATCTGCACATGCAATTTAAATCGTGCATCGTGATCAGATAACGTGCACTAGATTGTGAATGAACACACAGTTACAGATTATGCACTCTGGGAATGATAACAAGGGCCAAACTTGTGTGCACTTGCATCCATGTGTGTGTGCATGTGTGTGTGTGTGCGTTTGTGTGTGTGTGTGTAAGAGAGAGAGAGAGAGAGAGAGAGAGAGAGAGAGAGAGAGAGAGAGAGAGAGAGAGAGAGAGAGAGAGAGAGAGAGAGA